GAAAATGAATTAAAAAATGTTAATCAACTACAAACAACATACAAAAAACAACATACCCATATGGTGGTATACATGGGATGCATTTTTATATCGTATGCTCAATCAAGCACTAAGACACATGGATGTTGATATGATTATTCGAATGGGCTTCTTTATCAAGGATCTACATTGTGATATTCAACGATTACATTCTGAACAATTTGATGATCATCAATCAGGTACAACATTTACAGTTTATCGTGGACAAGGTCTTTCAAAAGAAGATTTCACTGAAATGACAAAAACAAAAGGTGGACTTGTTTCATTTAATAGTTTTTTATCAACTAGTAAAAATCGTAATGTTTCTCTTGACTTTGCCCAACAAGCTGCTACAAATGCTGATCTTGTTGGAATACTATTTGTTATGTCAATTAATCCTATGAATTCAACAGCTCCATTTGCTTCTGTTAGTGATGTTAGTTATTTTCATACAGAAGATGAAGTTCTTTTCTCTATGCATACCATTTTTCGCATTGGAGATATTAAATCAATGGATGGAAATAATCAGCTCTATCAAGTGAATTTATCATTGACCAATGACAATGATCAAGATCTTTGTGCTCTTACTGATCAGATTCGGGAAGAGACCTTTCCAAATTCGAGAGGATGGTACAGATTAGGTCAATTGCTATTTAAAATGGCTCAGTTTAATAAGGCTCAAGAAGTGTATGAAGTTTTACTTCTTCAGACAACAAATGAGAGTGACAAGGCACCTATTTATAATCAACTAGGTATGATCAAACGTAATCAAAGAGAATATCCAGAAGCACTTACATGTTATAAAAAATCACTTGCTATCTATCAGAAAACACTTCCTTCCAATCATCTTAGTTTGGCTAATCCTTATAACAACATCGGTATTGTGTTTAGAAACATGGGTGATTATCCAAAGGCACTTTCGTCTTATGAAAAAGCCCTTGCAATTCGACAACAATCACTTCCTTCCAATCATCCTGATTTGGGTGCTTCCTATAACAACATCGGTTTTGTGTATGATAGCATGGGTGATTATCCAAAAGCACTTTGTTATTTCGAGAAAGATCTTGCAATTCTACAACAATCACTTCCTTTCAATCATCCTGATTTGGGTGATTCCTGTAACAAAATCGGTACAGTGTATGAGAATATGAGCAACTATGCAAAAGCTCATTCGTTTTATGAACTTGCTGTACAAATTGGACAACAATCATTACCAGCAAATCATCCTCATCTTCAGCGTTACAGAAAAAACCTCGAATACATGAAAAAGAAATTATAATTGCCTTCTGTACTTTTTTTGAAAGTAAAATAAAACCAGTGAAAAAGAAAATGTGTCTGTTAAAACTTTGCCCTTGTTGAGAACACAATATGAACCGTAACATTCGCTGGTATACCATATTTATATCAGACTGATATGTGAATAGGCATCTAAGAAGATTGAAGATAATGTCTTTATTCTAAAAAAAAATTACTGTTGAGCAGAAATAAAGAGCTCTTTAGAAATATTGATTATTTATTTTTTGTTTTCCATAGAAAAATAAAACAAATTGGTAGCATGTGGAAACAAAGTAAATGATATAATGAGAATCAAACTTTATACAGAAGTAGAATATATATTAATTTCTTGGTGTAACTCCGTTTGTGAACTGTATGTTGATAAAATCTATACAAGTTCGACAATTTATAAAGAATGTTGCTCTTTGAACAGGGAAGATACATCAAAAACTTGTTTTTATTGACATCTTCTGTGTATATGTTTATATATTCTGTTAGGGAAACGTAGATATAAATAGTTCATGATATTTCATGGTTAAGACATGTCTTTTGCTCATTATAATCATCAAGTTTTTATTTCTTACATACAATAACTTTTCAATATGAATATTATGTTTAGTGATATTCTAGAAAAACATTACAACTAAATCTAAATATTTATTTGATTTTCGAATGAATATGATTAAAGATAAACAATCTGTGTTGACTATGTTTCATCAAATTTCTTTCACTCATTAAATGTATACACAAAAAAAAATAATAATATTAAAATAAAAGAAAAACGCATATGCTCATTTGTCCTTGTAGTTATTAAGCATGAACAGTCACTTCTTCATTATTTCCATTACCAACTATGGGTTGATCAAGTGATGTAGATATTTTATCTTCACGTAAAGCGCGATTTTGTAGTTTTGCTAAAACTGGATTATTCAATGTTGTATTAAACGTACCACGAAGAACAGTATCTTGAAGAAGTGGTGATAACTAAACAAAAGAAAAAATATATTCATTGAATTTTGTTAGTTCATTTTGTTCTTACTTCATAATCTGCAGGACCTGGTAATTTTGAAGTCTCATAACGAAAACGAACATCACGTGTAGGTGCAATACCACGTGGTGCATTTTCATTAACATAACCATCGTATGCGCCTGGACCAGGTGTATCATTAAACGCATCACCAGCAAATGTTCGTTTAGCTGCACTTAAAAATTGAGCATGTCTTTTACGTGCGTTTTTCGAACGTGGTGGTTGTCTATGAGAAGATGTTAATGCATGATAAGCACGTGTTACATCATAAGCTGTTGGTCCTGGAATATCCTTTGTAAAAAAAAAGAAAAGTAATTAAAAAGAAATCATTTATCACTAATATTTATTTACTTCAACAACAAGTTCTCGAGTTGTAGTCGAAGAAAAATTTGCTGTTTGTTGTTCAATTTTCGATTTAAATGGTGTTGTTTTAATATCATAACTACTTGGACCTAAACATAAATAAATATTTAAAATATTATAATTAAATATGAAATTATTGTTTTACCAGGTTTATTATATTCATCTTTACGTATCATAGTTAATCCTCTAACAGAAGCGACATTGAATGGTGGTTTTTTACCACCATCAACAACGGCTTTTCGTAAATTTTCATCAGTAAAACCTGAAATACGATATTGAGCAGGACCAGGAGCACTTCTAACTTTATAATCAATATTAACAAATCTTGCTGATGTTTGATTAAATGGATTTCGTTTAAGACTTGTTGGTTTTGATTGAGTGCTATTGAATGCAGTCATGACTTTATCAGTATATGTTGCTGGACCAGGTACATCAGATGTAGTATTATCAAATCTCTAGAAAGAATAAGAAAATATTTCAATTTTTATAATAGAAAAAAACGATTTTACTTTAGTTTGTGAACCAAATGGTGGTCGTTCAAAGTCAAGTCCAATTATATCATTTTTTGCTGGTTCTGGATCGAGCTCACGTTTAATTGTATATTGACCTGGTCCCGGAATACTCTAATAAATAAATAAGTAGATAGATAAATCAATATTGATTGTTTTTTTTTCATAAATATAAATACTTCTTTAGTAGCTGTTTTGACTACACTCTCAGGATATCTTGCAACTTGTAATTCATGTTTTCTTTCCGTTGTTTTCATATTCATATGATGAATTTCAAGCCTAATTGGTTCATTAGGATCATATTCACCTGGGCCAGGTCCTGTTTTACCAGCAAAATCTGTACGTTTACTAGAATATTTACCAAAATGAACACCATGATAAAGTTTTGTTGCATCAACTTCTACCTATTAATAATAATATATACTTTTTTTTTGGTTATTATAAAAATCTAACGAACAGTAGGCGGAGGATTATAAAAAGCTGGACCTATAGAACCATCTCTAGTTGGTGGTTTTTGTGGTACAAGTATTCCTGCAGTATCTTCTTCGAAACCATAAGCAAATTTGGGATCAGGAATCGATGGTGGAAGAGCTTTACGCTCATATTTAGGTAAATTTGGACGTGGTTGTGGTTGCTATTAAAATAAAAAACATACATATAAATTGAATTATACAAAAGAAGAGGAGCTTACTTTATTAACATCAGTAGCAGTTACACGTGCGGATTGACTTTTACGAAGTTCATATGCACCAGGTCCTAGAATATTATAAAGTATATTTTTTTTCTTCAAAACTTTAAATATATACCTGGTGTTTCTTCGGATCCTTTTGAACTAAAACGACTAGCTCTATTTGCTAATGTACTTCCTCCCTATAATACAAAGAGAAAAAAAATAAATCAATACATACAATTCAATGATATACAAATTATTATTTTGTAACAAAAATAATCAAAAAAAGCTATAGCAAGAAGTAGCGGAATCATGTTTGAGTTTTATTACCGTCTAAGATTATTCATTGAATAATAGTCTGGATTAAAGAAAAATAAATAACATTAATTTTTATTCATCTTTATGTTAATTAAAGTATCCGATTGTACTTTTCTTTTATAGAATTACGTTCTGAATGTCTCTATATTCCTACACATTCGTCTTCGAAAGATATGTCAGATGAACTGAGACGTTAAATTTTTAGCAACAAAAATGATAATATATTTCCTAATTAATCTTTATCTTATATGAATCAATGTTAAATAAAACATTCAACGGATATCCGATTTAGATGTATATATTGTCAGATAATTTTCTATCTAATCATAATTTTACATATTATGTTCTTTTTGAAAAAAAATATAGATAGAAATAAGTAAATAATATTCTCTTATTTCTTCTTTTTTTCTTCTTCTTCTTCGTCTTCTATCATTTTCTTTCTTCATCAAAAAGATTTCAGAGAACAACTCACGTTCATTCCCTTTTCAAACATTCTCAATATAACGAGTGTTAGCAAACACATAAAACAAAACTTTTTGCGTATATTTCACAATCGTATTATATAAGAAAAAATAATAATGCTCAAATCAATTATTTTTATTTTGTCAATATTATCCTTTCTTATATTATTCATTCAAGCAAATCCACATAATCTTCATGAACAATTATCTCCTTCAACAGCAGTATTCATCAAACCAAAAGCAAATATACTACGTCGTCTTAATCCATTAAAATTATTATTTACTGTGGCATATACACCAACACAAATTCCACATTATAAAATCGAATGGAATTTACCATTTTTAAAAACAATGTTACTTGAAAGTACACATGTTACTAATGATGATAAAGATTTATTTTCTGAAAAATTTATTAATACAGAAAATGATTATGCTAACTGGACGCCTGAACAACATAATGAATTAGAAAGATTTACCGAAAAATATTTTAATATGTATCAATCACCCGATTTATTTTTACCATTTATTGATTGTCCTGCTTTAACTTATGCAATAACGGATGAAATGCTCAATGATGTTCATCCGAATATCAATGAAGAAAAACGTACAAAAGTTCGAAAACAAGCAGTTGAACGTTTATGCGATTTCGAATAAAAAATAAAAGAATTTTTTTGTCTTTTACAAAAATAAAAGAAGAAGAAGATCCATTAAAAAACGGTATATTGAAGTGTACTCTATATCTGAACATCATCTAAAAAATAGATGATTACACTAAAAGCTTTTTTTGCCAGACAAGTATTTGAATAACATATAATCGACACAACAGACTCTTTACACTATGTTTTATTTGTCAGTACAAAACTCAAGAGTTAAAATATACTCGTTAAATTTTTAATTCTAAAAAAAAAAGAACAAGAAACAATATAATTCTTACTTTAACTGTGATTACATTTGAATTTCGTAAATCATAATGACCAGGACCAGGATTTTCATCATTTGAAAATATTTGTCCACGATTTGCAAGTGATAAAAATGGAGCATAACCTTCTATTAATATTTTAACAAAAATATATATATTATTAAGTGAATATTTTAGAAATTTTCACCGTCATTTGCTTTCTTTCGCCGATGATCATATGTACCAGGACCAACGTGATCTAATGTAGATCCTAGTGTTTGATGTAATGTACGTGGTGCTTGATCATACATCTAGAAATTTTAGAAATAAAAATCATTTGATTCCTGGAATATTTCGTAATACACTATAAAAAATGAAATTATCATTACGTGAGGCATTCTATAGCTAAGTCTTTTTCTCCCTGTACGATCCATGTTATTTACAATGAAAATCTTCTTTTCATTTAATAACGTACACAGAGAGATAGAACGAATAAAATATCACTAAAAGTTATAATCGTTAGACGCTTCTATAAATATCATTAAGTCTACTGATTTAAAGATTTCTGTTCATATCGTGATGAACATGAATGACTAATCTTAAGTATCATGAAATCGTATAATCTATGTCTATTCTATGGTTTATTTTTCATATTGCTCAAAAGTAAGTTTACGTAAAAGTATTCTTAAAATACGAACTCATACGGTTATTACATAAATAACATTAATTCCGAATTTTTGATAAATATTACTTATTAAATAATAATCTATCGTGCACGAGACTACATAAGCATTGACTAAAAACTGTAGTTGCTAAGTAACATAGTAAGTATTAAAATATTAGATCTCGAATTATATAATGTTTAAAAAAGACGGTATTTACTTCGATTTATCCTTGTATTTAAACAGAACCTATATTAATTTATTTTATTCTAATAAAAACAAAAAAAAACTATTCTACCATTTTGAATACAAATGTCATGGCAACGCGTGAAAATATTTCTCATATAGAGAAAATTGACATCTGACATATGATTGATTAAACATTAAGCCAATATAAAATAATTCCATTATCTTTTGTCTACTTCGTCTTTAGATCCAGGCATTAAATACCAAATCTCAAAAATATGCATTGAAAAATATACATATATAAAGCTGATTTTCTTTTGTCTTTTATTAAAATTACTAAAACAATGGCAGATGAACCACTATTTACAATAGAAATGGATGGACATCGTCATCCATTAATTAACAATGATGGTGACGATGATGATGACGATGATGATAATCGTTTTATTGATAATGATACTGGTGCTGATCTATTACAAACAGAGTAGAATCTTTTCTTTTTCTTGTGTTTTATATAAAATCGAATTCTTTTTCTTTCTAGTGATATTGAAACAGTACAAATAACTGAACGAACAGTCAATCCACGTGGAGAACGAATCTCACCACATGATTTTCAATTATTAAAAGTATTAGGTAAAGGTGGATATGGAAAAGTTTTTCAAGTACGAAAATTATTTGGTAGTCATCAAAATGAAATATTTGCTATGAAAGTTCTTAAAAAAGCCAAGTATGATTAATTCGAGAAATTATCATTCATTTCTTTTTTTGTATATTTATATAGAATTGTTCGAAATGCAAAAGATACTGCACATACAAAAGCAGAAAGAAATATTCTCGAATGTGTTAAAGTAATCTAGGAGATTTTCCTTTGATATATTATCAATAATTCGTTTTTTTCTAGTGTCCATTTATCGTTGACCTCGTGTATGCATTTCAAACAGGTGGAAAATTATATTTAATCTTAGAATATTTATCAGGTGGAGAATTATTTATGCAATTAGAACGTGAAGGAATATTTTCAGATGACATAGCTTGGTAAGAAAATCTATCACGAACGTGATATACGTAATAAATTGCCATTCTTTGCTTATAATTTCTTTTTTTGTGGGAACATATATGTTTATCTTTCATATTCTGTTATGTAAAGGAAGAATCAGCTGTTTTACGCCTACTAACATACAGTACAATTGATATCTATTCTTTCTCGATGGCACGTAAGAATGCATATCGTGCGAATGCACTTTTAATCCATAAATAGCTCTACTTTATATTTTACAATTACGTAAAACGATCTTTGATTAATTCTCGATTGTTTTTTTTTCTAGTTTTTATCTATCTGAAATATTACTTGGAATTGAACATTTACATAAACAAGGAATTATTTACAGGTCTGTTTTTTTCGATTGATGTTTTTTATGTTTATAAATTCATATTTTGATTTTTAGAGGTGAAAATTTTTGAAATACATATATGTTTACCAGAATTTTCTTCCTATTTAAGATCTTAAACCAGAAAATATTCTTCTTGATGCTCAGGGTATTTATAAATTCTACTATTCTCTAAATATTTCATCTTATGATTTTATTTAGGTCATGTTAAATTAACTGATTTTGGTCTATGTAAAGAATCTATCTATGAAGGTGGACAAACCAATACATTTTGTGGTACAATTGAATATATGGCACCAGAAATTTTAACTCGTAGTGGTCATGGCAAAGCTGTAGATTGGTTTGTATTGAATTTAAATAAAAAAAACTCATATCTAATCTTACATTTATTATTAAGGTGGTCATTTGGTGCATTAATGTACGATATGTTAACGGGTGCTGTATGTTATTGAATTTTTGTTTTTCTTTGCAGAAGTATTATTTAATTTAATTTAGCCGCCATTTACATCTGATGATCGTAAACGAACTATGGACAAAATCATAAAAGCCAAGTTGATTTTACCAGCATATTTAAATATTGAAGCAAGAGAACTAATTCGAAATGTAAGTATAATTATTTGCTTGTTAAGGAAAATAATCAATTCTTATTCAAAGAAATGAAATAAGAAATTTAAGCAAGCAAAAATTAGATATAGTCCGATCTGAGACGATACGAACTACTTATATTGTATATCGTGCGATAATCGAACTACAAGATGAACTAATTTTATTAGAGATTATTTTGTACTTTTTTGTTTTAGTTACTTCGTCGACAAGTCAGTCATCGACTTGGAAGTGGATTGGAAGATGCTCTAGCAATTAAGGTAATCATTTTTCTTTTAGCATAGGCATGCATAGAAATGTTGGCGCTTCCATCTACTGTTTAGTTAAAACTAATTAATCATATCTATGATAAAAATTTTCCTATAAAAACGCGACCTTCAACGATCCCTTCGGTATATTTGTACTTTGTCGCGTCGCCAACGAAAAGTAAATTGAATTGTATGTGAATCGAAAATACTTCGAGCAATAATTTAAATGCGGCTGAATTGTTTACAGATGGTATATTAGTTTTCCTAGTGATAAATTTTCTCCAAAAAGACCTTGAAAACTGGCTCTTTTACGATACCTAGAGTAACTTGACATACTTATAACATATAAATGTTAGTTATAAAAACGTTCTCCATTCCTAAGATATGCATGTTTCAATTTTATGAGGTCACGTCGCTAATAAATGAATGTTTATTTTATTTCTAGAATCATCCATTTTTTCGTCATTTAAATTGGGATGATGTTTATGCAAAACGATATGAACCACCACATAGACCAATTTTGAAAGGTGATGATGATGTTAGTCAATTTGATACAAAATTTACTAAACAAACACCTGTTGATTCACCTGATGATAATATTCTAAGTGAAAGTGCAAATCAAGTTTTTCTTGTAAATATTATTAAAATCAAAATTTTATATATATTTATATCAATTCGATAGGGTTTTACATATGTTGCTCCATCAATAATAGCAGATATGATTCGACCAAATTTTAATAATAATGGATGTCGATCTCCAAAAAAAATGGTTTCATCAGAATTAACTTCTCATACGTATGTTTATTAAATTTTTCGTGATGAATATTTATTTTTAAATATAAAGATTGAATCATAAAATGTATGATTCTAATGAATATCGACCTTGTGCAACAACTGAAGCAATGGATATAAGTGATATTCCATCAAACTCATTAAAAAATGTTAAATCATCGACACTCAGTAGACAACAATTGAACAAACCAAAAAGTCCAGGTATTAAAAATATTCTAGTCTTATAGTTAAATAGAAAGTATAATCTTTTATCTATAGGAAATATTTTTAAGAAACTTTTTCAACGTCATCGTTGTACTAGCCGTTGATAGAATCATGTGGGTTTATATTTTTTGCATTATATATCGAGTGCTTTATACTGATTAATAAATGAATAAATCTATAGTATCAGATCTTGAGATGCAGATAAAAGAGAATAATGCGTATACATCTTAGATATTTATTTTTAATCTTGAATGTTTTTGCTCTGTTCTCGATTTTTAAAAACTTTAAATCGAACATTTGACACTTTTTTTTCTAACAAAAATGAATGTTTTACTGACTTTTATATAAAGAATTAATTTCAATTTTTATGAATTTTTCTTTCGTTTTCTTTTTTAGTTATCAGTGGTCTTGTTCAAGATATTACTATCAATCGATGAGTTTCTCAATATTTGTTTTCTTACAATGCATTTCCTAAACAAAAAACGATTATTTTCACTGTTGTTTCCTCTCTCCTGTGTCTTGCTTTTTGATTGTTATTATTGTTTCAGTTTAATTATATTTGTTTTCTAGTTTTTTTTCTCTTCTTCTGTCTCTTTTCACTTATTCATGGTCGTTTGTTCTTGTTTCAAGTACTAATGTGTGCGCGTTTTTCTCATTGTTAAGATTTTGAAAAAGAAAATATATACTTATTTATTTCTAAATATATTAGTTTTTACGAGCATAACGCGGTGATGTTTTAGTCACTATTTTTTTTATTAAATAGATGAGCTAGAATTTTCGTGTAGGTGATATATCTTGACTTCTTAAACACTCTCTGAAAATATGAGGTTCATTTAGAAAGGTATATGTTATCATGGTTTTCGTTAGTTGAAGTTGATCTAAATTTATATCAAACTGCTTCGACATATGAGATATGTTAGTGGCATGGATCATATGAAGAATTTGCATATTAAAAATGGGCAGAGTCAGGCAACTCTGAAAATCATTGCTGCAGACACTTGTTTTTGAGGTTAAACATTACGCGTATAAGTTGATATATATATGTAGCACAAATTCAGCGATGTTTGACCATTTAATATATATTTACAGGAAAAAGTTTGTTGTAATTAATACTTTATTGTATGAAAATATAAGAAAAATAATTTGTATAGTATAATAAATTGAAGAAATCTTGATTATCTTTCAATAGATTATACCACGCAAATTGTCTCCTGTTATGCATTAATTATTGTATTCTTCTGGAAAATGAATATCATTTCAGAATCAATGAATAGAGAAGTGTTAATTCTGATAAAAACGTAGGTTGATTTTGTATTTTCAAAAGATTATAATATGATAATTTATTTATAAAAGAAACTTTAATTTGATGTGTAAAGTATGGTACAATCTTAGCATAAATATTTTAAATAACTTGGAATCGTTGAATATAATTATTGTTTAAATTAGTGACATATAGATGTGTATCAGCTTTGCTTAAATTTACATCAATAGAAACATATAATAAGCCTGCATCTATTTCAATCATTCCTGAGATACCAACGAGTGTAGCTCTACTCATTGCACTAGGATGTTAATACGTGATCCGATTATTGTATGTATCAACAATGCAAACTGTGGTTGATATAATTGTTTATCGTTTAATCTAGAATCAATTCGATCTCCTACAATGTTTTCATTGATCGAAACTCGAAGTGTAAATCTTTGAATAAGATTTTTATAACAATCTGCATCGTATAGATATGAATGTAACTCATCAGGATAGAATTCAAAAGGATAATTAAGATATTGACTGTCGATACCGGATATATTTGTGTGAGCAATAACCGTACTAAAATTAACGTTTGAGGTACATTTTTTCACTCAATAATATTCTATTTCAGAGACATAACTATATTTCAATTAACATGGATATTCGATATATGTTTATTACCTGTAACTTTCATTCCAATAAGAACTATACCAATTAAATCACCCGCACATTTATATCTTCACTAACAAGCAATGAATAAATAAAACAACTTAAATATATTTTTATAATAGAACTTACATTAGCACTATTTTCATAGTAAACAAGTTCGATTAAGATTGTTTTGGCAATCTGTTGTATTTTCATATAAACCTTCAATTAAATTTTGACTACGATATCTAAATCTATCAAAAAATGTGCGAGATAAACATTGACAAGTAGAGTTTATACACATTAAATAACGATTAATATCCATTGGAGCTATATTGAGTTTAGATATCAGAAGAAAATATAATCTCGTTGTTTTCTAACATTGTAAAAATTCTAATGCATACGAGTACTAATAAAGAATTTCTAATACAAATAGAACGATATGTTCAACATTTATAAACAGCAGTATTATGTTTTTTAAAATATAGAAACATACACTGATTAGAGATGAGAATGGTCAATTAAATGATTGCATTATAGTTGATTTATATATTTCAAACAAATGGTTAGTATGGAAACAAATAATACGTAAAAGAAGATTTTTTCATGAATCGTATTCATTTTAGAGATATATTAACACTGAATTTTTTTAATTTACCTGAATATGCATTCTTGATGATCATTCATATTTCTGATAACATTATATTAGTCATAGAACATGTATACACGTAGTCTTTGATTCATGAAAATAAAAACACGATGAAAAAGAACAATTGACAACACATATAATAATTAAATGCTTCTTTTCTGTTCGATAGAAATAATTTTAATCTTTTTCCTCATTGTTCCAACAGAAAATAATTGTAAATTTTCATCAATCTGTAATAATGACTGAAAAAAAAAATAAAATTGTCTTTAGAGATTTTTTCTAAGGACAAATATTTTCTCACAGATTACTTTTTTCAATTGTCAACAATGACCATACTTTAACGTCCTTTTCATTTGTCTGTAACTGATAAATATCTCTGATAACACCTGTAACATTTTGTGACGTATATCTAACAAATATGAAAAAACCAAGTGAAATACTGATAACAGAAAAAACAATGTAAATGATGATAAAAAGAACAATCTTGAAAGAAAATTCTTATACTATAAAATGACACATTATTCTCATTCATTTATAAACATTTCTTCTTGAAATAGTCTACATTACAACAAACAATGGCGAACAACAAATCAATAATATCTGTTCAAACCAAGTCACAAGCTAGTGCTAAACAAGTATCAAAATTTTCCAAGGATGCAGTTGCAAATCGGCGTATCAACATGCAAAAAATGCAAAATGTCCTTCTTGTTTGGTTAGACAACAATATTAACGAAAATAATGCTGATTGTACTAATACAATCAAACAATTAAAACGTGTTGTTAACAACATAAACACGTTTACAGATGGTGAACAGTGTCTTGAGTTTATTCAAACTATCACCAACAACAAAGTATGTATGATCATCTCGGGGTCACTTGGCAAACATATTGTGCCCCATGTGCATCATATGTCCCAAATAGACACCATTTTTATTTTTTGTAACAATCAACAATGGCATAAACAATGGGCCAAAGAATGGCCTAAAATAAAAGGAGTCTTCACAGAGATAACATCAATTTGCGAAGCTCTTAAACAAACTGCTCACCAGTGTGAGCAAAATGCCACACCGATCAGCTTTGTAGCGTCAAACAAAAAATTGGATCAATTAGATCCATCATTCATGTATTCTCAGATCTTGAAAGAGATCTTATTAACCATCAACTTCGAAGATAAACATTTCAAAGAATTTATTAGTTATTGTCGTGAAATATATGAAGATGATGAAAATGAATTAAAAAATGTTAATCAACTACAA